AGAATGAGATAAGTAGGTCGAAATGCTTTGAGGCATTTAAAACATGACACAAATGCAAGGGGTGTGTATTTGGGGAGGGCTTGGGACTTCCCTTCCTTTCCCTAGGAAGGTAAGAAAAGCCTACGCTTGTTTTATCTGTAAGGAAGGACTAGAATCCACTTATTTTGTACTGATGGTGAGACAAAAGAGTGTTGTAATAACAAGGCTGGATTAACACAAGGTTTAACCATCAAGTAATGTGACTGATTTTTAAATAAACATATTTAAATGGGCGTTGTCCCATCCTGAGTAGTGAGTAGTCACCTTGGCAAGGGAAACACTTATTTAAATTATATTTCCCATCCAAAAAAATTTTAACTCCTCTTTGGAACTCTTCCTAGGGACTTTGGCACATTCTTTTGAATATATCTGAGGGTGACACATTTTTTGTTCTTTGTGGATGATTTTGATTTTTTGTAAACAGTCCAAAGTTATCTGGCACAAAGACTGGCAAATAAGCTAAGTAAGACCCATTTTTTCTGTTTTTTTTTTTTGTTGTTGTTGTTGTTGTTTTTTGTTTTTAAATTGAAAATTGTGGCAGGGCATGGTGGCTCATGCCTGGAATCCAAGCACTTTGGAGGCCAAGATGGATGGATCACCTGAGGTCGGGAGTTCAAGACCAGCCTGACCAACATGGTGAAACCCCATCTTTATAAAATAATAATAATAATAGTAAAAGAATAAAAAGAAAATATATTCTAACTATAGGACGCCTATCTTTCAGTTCCAAGAGAAGAGTTATGCATAGATTTCAAGACTAGCAGTATTTTTGGAAAGACCTTGTTTCTTTCTAAGGTGAAAAGAAGAAAAAAGCTATTTGGAAATGTATTTTGTTTGTAATCACACCTTTATCCTGCAAGACTGATGCTAAACTTTGAGTTTCCAGAAAGAAATGAGCATCGCAACTAAACAACTGTTGCAATTATTTTATCACAGCTCCACAGGGCATCTGAATCTACTTGCATATGGATTAACTGGCTAGCAACAATACAGATGCTTCCAATGAATTACCATGTGGGTCTGTTGGAAATATAGCATCCAGCAGATTCAATTCTAACTAGTAGACTTTATACTCCCTTAAAAAGTTTGGATTTTTTTTTTAAGTTACAAAACAATGTATCTGAATTTTAAAGTTAAAAGTTACAAAACAATGTATCTGAAAATTAAAATACCACTAATAAGATTACAATGTAACCTGAAGCAACTGCTAGATTTCCTTCTGTTGCAACACATTTCAATGATTAGTATTATTTTGAAATAAACACAAGGGCACTTTCATTCTTTGAATGTTGCGCACTGTGAGCATTTCAATGTTAAATGATCCCAATGATTTTTTACAGAAAATATTTTTCCGGCAGGGCGTGATGGCTCATGCCTGTAATCCCAGAACTTTGGGAGGCCAAGGAGGGTGGATCACGAGGTCAGGAGTTAGAAACCAGACTCGCCAACATGGTGAAAACTGGTCTCTACTAAAAATACAAAAATTAGCCAGGCATGGTGGTTTGTGCCTGTAATCCCAGCTACTCAGGAAGCTGAGGCAGGAGAATTGCTTGAACCTGGGAGGCAGAGGTTGCAGTGAGCTGAGATTGTGCCACTTCACTCCAGCCTGGGCAACAGAGCAAGGCTCTGTTGGTGGGTGGGAGGAGGAGATACACACACACACACACACACACACACACACACATATATAGATATAGATGTAGATACATATATATTTATATACGTAGATACACATCTATCTATATATATTTTCCCCCCAACTCATTTTTATATTGCAGCAAAATTCACATAACATAAAATTCATCATGTGACCATTTTATAGTGTTGAATTAATGGGCATTTAGTGCATTCACAATGTTCTGAACCCATCATCACTATCTATTTCCAAAACATTTTCGTTATCCCAAAAGGAAACTACCCGTTAAGCAGTCTATCCCCGTCTTCCCTCACCCCATCTGCTTTTTGTTTCTGTGGATTTGCCTATTCTGGACATTTCATGTAAGTGGAACCTTATAATATGTGGCCTTTTGTTTCACTTAGCCTAGTATTTTCAAAGAGTATCCATGTTGCAGCATGTGTCAGCATCTCATTCCTTTTATGGCTGAATAATTGCATTACATGGATATACGACATTGTGTTTACCCATTCATTCATCAATGGACATTTGGACACCTTATGGTCATTCCTTTTTTGTTGTTGTGGGTTTTTAAAAAAACTTTTATTTTAGGTTTAGGGGTACATACGCAGGTTTGTTATACACGTAAATTGCCTGTCTCGAGTATTTGGCATACAGATTATTTAGTCATTCAGGTAATAAGTATAGTATGTAATAGGTTTTTGGTTTGTTTGTTTTGAGATGGAGTTTCACTCTTGTTGCCCAGGCTGGAGTGCAACAGTGCAATCTCAGCTCACTGCAACCCCCACCTCCTGGATTCAAGAGATTTTCCTGCTCAGCCTCCTGAGTAGCTGGGATTACAGGTGTCTGCCACCACGTCCAGCTAAATTTTAGTATTTTTAGTAGAGATATGTTTTCACCATGTTGGCCAGGCTGCTCTCAAACTCCTGGCTTAAACTGTTTGGATTATAGGCATGAACCACTGTGGCCAGCTAATCTCTTGGCTACTATAAATGGTGCTGCTATGAACGGGGTTTACAAGTTTTTGTTTGAACACTGTTTTCAGTTCTTTTTAGTATTTGGGGGGTTATACCCAGGATTACTGGGTCATATGGCAATTCTATCTTCAACTCTTTGAGAAACCACCAAATCTCTAACTCATTTTTATGCTTACAATTTACAAGGTGTCTTGATCACCAGTTAGAAAAAGCTGGACAGCTGCTGCCAAACCCAGGTTGGACCCAGAGAGGTCTTTCTTTTCTTTCCTTTTCCTCTCTCTCTCTCTTTCTTTCTCTTTTCCTTCCTTCCTTCCCTCCCTCCCCCCTCCCTCCCTCTCTTTCTCCTTTCTTCTCTTCTTTCCCTTCCTTCCTTCCTTTCTTCTTCTTCTTCTTTTTTTTTTTTTTTTTTTTTTTTTTTTTTTTAAGACAGTCTCTGTCACCCAGGCCCCAGGCTGGAGTGCAATGGCATGATCTCCGTGCACTGTAACCTCCACCTCCCAGGTTCAAGTGATTCTCTTGCCTCAGCCTCCTGAGTAGCTGGGATTTCAGGCTCATGCCATCACACTCAGCTAATTTTTATGTTTTTAGTGGAGACAGGGTTTCACCAAGTTGGCCAGTCTGGTGTCAAACTCCTGATCTCAAGTGATCCATCCACCTCAGCCTCCCAAAGTGTCAGGAATATAGGCATGAGCTACCACACCCGGCCCTCTTTTTCTTTCTTTCTTCTTCTCTTTTTCTTTTCCTTCAATTGCCTTTCAGGTCAAAAACCTCTCTTTTTAAAAACTATACTGAGTAGAATGGCCAGGCTCAATGTGAGCCAACTCTGTTTCTAGGCAGGGCTTTGAACAGCTTTCTCTGCTTCTCTACATGTCATGACATGAACTGGCTCGGCAGGAATACCTTCCTGCCTCCTGGGCATTCTTGGTTTTCCATTATGTTACACACACTTCTGAAAAAAGATGTTAACTACCTAACTTACAAGTTTCTCTCCTCTGTCTTTGTTGGAGTTCAAGTTAGCACCTGGGGTCAATGCAGAAACCATCCTTGAGGGCCTGTTTTATGCCCCAATCCTGGGAGAGGTGAGTCCTTGCATAGTCAGAGAACAGAGCCTCCCAAACACTAGATGAGATGATGGAGAAATTCTCCATCCAGGGCAGACTTTTACCATCTCTTTTGCCTGACAGCACTGTTCAGTGATTCTGACTCTTATCAATCCACAGATATTGGAGGTGGGCCTTCCCTACCTGTATATTGTAGGTTGTCCACCCTATGGGCTTGCCATAGCCACAGGAGATAATCCTACTATAGGCATTGTTTACTGCAGTCAATCTACTGAGTCTAGGCTTCTCTGTCATTAACCCAACCCCAGACAGTAACTGATTGGCACCAATTTTAAAATTTAAACCTGTTTGAGAGTTTCTTGGAATGCTGACCTCTTACCTCAACTCCCTGACACCTAGGAAGTTTCTGAGCTACAGGAGCCCAAAGCTATGTTGCAGTGCCAAAACAGGGACAGACCAAAGTGGCTTTTTCAACTTGAAACTAAATACTAAGAATGAAGAGGTTGGCTTTGAAAGGTGCGGGTTAAGCAGTTTCTCTGCCAACCCACAGCTGTCACTTGTGGCTTGTCTCCTGGCCTTTCAGGTGTCCTGGCCTGAATCCGCTGCTAAGACAGAAAAAAAGTCCCCTGACGGGTCACATCCTCTGTAATCTGGCAGGAAACCTAAAATTTGCATGCTCCCATTCCTCCTGGTGTTTGTGTATCTGCTTCCTTGTTGGGAATAGCCTGCATCACAGTGTCCGGTGTAGGGGATTTTCACCATGACCTCACCCTCCTGCTGCCACTCACTGATTCCAGCCTGGCCAAGCGTCCCCGAAGCCACATCACAGCCCAGGTGGAATGCACATGACTGAGCCATTAAGAGCCCCTAGTAGCACGTCTCCGGTGAACATCAACTCCAGTTCTTTCCCCTGGTAAGGGGGGCGGGGCTGGCAGGGTCTGAAAATGCCAGAAAGAACTGCAAGTGTGGGCGGATGATGTCTGGTTACTGTTCTGGGATTCGGAGAGTAGAAGGTCAAGGGAGTCACCTTATGAAAACACACCAGGCCAGGGAGCAGTGGCTCCGTCTGGAATCCCTACACTGTGGGAGGTGAGACTGGAGGATCACTTCAGCTCTGGAGTTCAAGACCACCCTGGGAAACATAGGGGGAGACCCCGTATCTAAAAATAAATACAAAAAATTAGCAGGGCATGATGGCACACTCTTGTAATCCCTGTGATCCCAGCTACTCGGGAGGCCGAACCTGGGAGGTGGAATGAGCCAAGATAGCGCCACTGCACTCCAGCCAGGGTGACAGAGAGACTTCACCTCAAAAAAAATAAAAAATAAATTAAAAAATGAAATAAAGAAAATGCACCGAAGGCATGCCAGGCTCACGCCGGCTGTTCTGTTCAAATAACTTTCGAGTCCGTGGCCTCGAAAAGGGTCCGGTGGGCGGTGGCAGTGGGCAGCAGGCGCACGCGGGAGAAAGGGCGGCTAAGTGGGAGCCCAAGGAGCCGCGTCCGGTACCTGGTCTCCGGCCTCCAAGCCCAGGGGAAGGAGCCGTTCTGCCCACAAGTGGGCGCAGACCACGAAAGGGAAACAGAAAGTTAGACTCCCCCGCCCCGCCCACGTGACCGCGGCTCCCCAGCCCTCTCAGCGCGCTCCCGGCGGCGGCAGCGAGTGCGGGCACCGGAGCGAGACAGCAAGCGCGTGACTCGCCGCCCAGGGCGGGAGGCGAGGGAGCTGCCGCGGCGTGCGAGCGCGCCCCGGGAAGCGGCGGGAGCGCGCACGCGCCGGGGCCACCGCCCCTCCCGGGCCGGGTCCGCCCTCCTTCCCTCCCTCCCCCGCTCTCCTGGCCCGCCCTGCCCGGCCCGCCCTGCGAGTCAGTTCGCTGGTTCCCTCCCTCCCTGGGCGCGCTCGGGCCGCCGCTGCGCTCCCCGCCCTCGAGCCGTGGTGCCAGAGCCGCCCGCCGCCCGAGGAGGAGGTGGAGGGAGCCGGAGGGGCCCGCCGAGGCGGCGGCGGCGGCGGCAAGATGGCGGACTTCCTGCCGTCGCGGTCGGTGCTGTCCGTGTGCTTCCCCGGCTGCCTGCTGACTAGCAGTGAGGCCGAGCAGCAACGCAAGTCCAAGGAGATCGACAAATGCCTGTCCCGGGAGAAGACCTACGTGAAGCGGCTGGTGAAGATCCTGCTGCTGGGCGCGGGCGAGAGCGGCAAGTCCACCTTCCTAAAGCAGATGCGGATCATCCACGGGCAGGACTTCGACCAGCGCGCGCGGGAGGAGTTCCGCCCCACCATCTACAGCAACGTGATCAAAGGTGCCGGGCCGGGAACGGGGGCCCCGGCTGTGGGGGCCGGGGGACTGGGGCGGCGGCGGGCGCGGGGCCGGGCACCGCCCTCGTCCGCTCCGTCGCTGGCGGAGGACCGGGCTTGGCGGGCGTGCTGGCGGGAAGGGGGCGCGCCCCGGGCACTGGCCCTGCCCGCCCGGGGTGCCCTCGTCCCCCAGGCGAGAGGATGCTCGGGGGCGCCCTGTTCTCCCCCTTGTCTCCTCGGTGGGCGTCACGGCCATTCCCTCACCCCCCACCGCGCCCCTGGTCTCGCCCCCTGCGAGAGGGAAGTGAGGCGAACTGGGTGTCTCGGGGTATGGGAGACCTCTCGTCCTCCCCGCTGCGGATGAGGCAGGAAGACCCTAGAGCAGCCTCAGCCCCTGCACCCCCATTCCCGGCTCGGGCGATGTGGGCCGAACCTCGCTATCCCGGCTGAGTGACCCGAGTCACATGGGGTCGCATGCGCTCCCAACTCCCTGCTTCCTTGACCGCCTCCAAGTTCTGGAACCGTCGCAGTAAGGGAACTTTTTGCCTTCTTGTCAAGGGCGTAGGGTGGCAGCCTCCTTTTGGGCAAGGGTATGAAACTTGAGAGTGTCAGGTTGACTGTACTGGAATCAGGAGAGAGTAGACCCATACGGTTAGTCTAAAAAAGTAGCATCTGCCCTTTTTCGCCCCACTGTCACTGTCAGGTAGGATGTTTGCATATAATCGCTGTGCAGCACGCTCCACTCTCCTTTTCGCCAAGTAGCTGAGGGCTGGCGGGAAGGGAGTGCCACTACTTCTATTTAGATGAAATGTTGTAGTTGTAAGAAGACTGGCTTAAAAGTCATGTGGATCCTGTACAGATGAAGACAATGAATGAGTGTTGAGTTAGATAATTGGCCCTGCTCTTTATTGACAGTAGTTTTAAAATTAAATTTTGTTTTTAAGTGGAAAAATAAACAAGTTGTTTATTTCTGGGCATTCAAAAGAATCGAAAAGATGGTTTTTATTTTGTCATTTGAAAGATACTCATTTTTCTGTGTGTCATGTATGTTCTATAGAAAAGGCATTTTGGCAGAATTCAGGTGCAGAGCCTGATACTTCACGTGCATCTGGATTTTATTTTATCTAGGGAGCAGTTCAGGAGCTTGCTACAGATTGCAGGTTTTTTTCATGTCACTCCCACTCCGCCCCTCCCAGCGTTTGGGTAAAGGAAAACTGCCTGAAGAGGCAGGCATTGTGGAGTAATGACTAGAGAATCTCTAGGCCAGCAGCTCACAGACCACAGCCTAGAAGACCTAGTACCTCTGCAGTTAAACTATAAAGAACAGTTGTATTTACCCTGCTGTAATGTTTAGCACAAAACTAATTAAGGTCTCTTTCAAGGCTGCAGACTCTGCCTTAGTCCTTAATCGAAGGTACCTTTGTATCCTGATGCAGCTGAACTTAAGGAATTATGTTAATGAATAGCATCAACTTGTTAACTGATTGTGAGCCAGGTAAACACCTCGTTCTTAATGTACACTGAGTTGTTAAGTGTGATCTACTTTGAGCATTGATTATGAGATGAAGTAAGTTATCAGGAATCTAGTGTTTTTTAGTTGACATGAAAATTGACAATAAAACAGCTTTTTCAGGCTGGGTGTGGTGGTTCACTCCTGCAGTCCCAGCACGGAGGCCAGAGTGGGAGGATGGCTTGAGCCCAGGAGTTCCAGACCAGCCTGGGCAACATAGCCAGACCTCATCCCTATTAAAAAACAAAAAACTAAAAAACACCAGTTTTTCAGTTATTCAAACAAATGACTTCCTACTAGCCAAGTGACTGTTCAGATGGATCAAAGGTAATAAAAACAATAGATCAGTGATAGAAAAAGCAAGCTTGAACTAACCTCTGTGAGCTGGAGTTCAATTTTATATTATTTTGCAGTTGATCTTGCTTTTAGGGAAATTGAAGGCTGTCCTGTGAGTTAAACTGAACTGAAGCATGGGCTGGTAGAAGTTTTTAAATTTTGAATGTTCCTAGAAGACTCAACGTTGGGTTAGGGTGCCGAAGGAGATAACAGAACACAGAGCTAGAATACTTGGTTCTTAGTGTTTCATAAGTGAACATCTTTTAAGTTCATGAAATCTTGGTTGTATCTATTTTCTTCCATGCTTGGACAGCGGTCTATGCAGCATAAGTTCTTTTCCTTCTTGAGTTTGGTTCTTTTTTGACTGCCTTCTACCCCAGAAGTTATTTTATAAATTGGAACATGTTGAAAGTCCTTCAGAAAGAGCAATTGTGCTAATAGTATTTGTTTTCCAAGGCTCTACTTTTAAGACAGTGAGTGGCTGTTATTTTTTTAAGCTCTGAGAAGTTTTTGATGTTGGTCTCCATTTTGGGAGAAGGTATGTCTGGATTGATTCAGAAGTCTAAGGAAATAATACTGGAATAAAAGCTTATGATAATATCTAATGACTTCTTCCCATACATTTTCTTCTTTTTAAACAAAGGTATGAGGGTGCTGGTAGATGCTCGAGAAAAGCTTCATATTCCCTGGGGAGATAACACAAACCAACTCCATGGAGACAAGATGATGTCATTTGATACCCGGGCCCCCATGGCAGCCCAAGGAATGGTGGAAACAAGGGTTTTCTTACAATATCTTCCTGCTATAAGAGCGTTATGGGCAGACAGTGGCATACAGAATGCCTATGACCGGCGTCGAGAATTTCAACTGGTAAGAGATTTGCTCTTTTAAAATGTGTGGTTTTATTTTAACAACATTTAGTAATACAGGTTGCACATCCCTAATCTGAAAATTCGAAATGCTCCCAAATCAAAAAGTATATGAGATGGAAGAACAGACTGAGAGGCTAAGGGAAACCCTAATGTGTCCTAGTCTGTAATAACTACGTGTAAAAATGGTTTATACAGTTACCTTCAGCCTACTTGTCTTAAGGTATATATGAAACATAAATGAATTTCTGGTTTAGACTTGGGTCTCCCTCCCAACATACCTCATTATGTGTGTGCAAATATTTCAAAAATCTAAAGAAATTCAAAATTTAAAACACTGCTGGTCCCGGGCATTTGGATAAGGGATACTCAACCTGTATCTGATTTTAGCACACTTTTTTCACTAAATTCCATAATATAATGTATCTATCCAAAATTGTAGCCTCAGAAATTTGATTTTTTGGTTTCATTTTTTAGGGAGATGAGATGGAGTCTCATTCTTTTTCCCAGGCTGGAGTGTAGTGGTGTGATCTTGACTTGTTGCAGCCTCCGCCTCTTGGGTTCAAGTGAGGCAGTTTTTGCCATGTAGGCCAGGCTGGTCTCAAATTCCTGACCTCAGGTGATATGCCCACCTTAGCCTCCGAAAGTGCTGGCATTACAGTTGTGAGCCACTGCATCTGGCTTGTAGCCTCAGAAGTTTGGATTGCTATGTAGATGAGCTTTTTACTAAACGAGATAAAAATAAGGTAAACTCCGTAGATTTGGATTGTATTTATTTACTATATTTAATTGGTCACCTTTCCTTTTTGAAAGTAAGGTCATAATGATTTCCCTAAGTACTTTCTTCTAATTTGGTTCTCTTTTTGAAAATATTTTCCTCCCAGTTATAGCATCTGTATTTATCCTTCTAAAAAAACCAACCTTTTACTCTGGAGTAAGAGTTCAGTAACTGAACATAGTTGTTCAAATATGCTATTTAGACTTTAGAGACATTCATTTTGTGATACAGGTTAATTTAATATGCAAAGATTAAAATTCTTAATGTATATTAAAAAAGCATAGTAATGTCCTTTTTGTGTATTGGCATCTGTGTGTGTGTGTGTGTGTGTGTGTGTGTTTAAGGCAACGAAGCCCATTTTATTAAATGTTCCTCCTTAAAAAAAAAATATAATAATCTTACTTTTTGTATCTTTGTTTCCCATGGGAAGCACCCAGAATTTATTTTACATTTTTTTTTTCTCTTTTTCCTTTTTTTGAGATGGAGTCTCACTCTGTCACCCAGGCTGGAGTGCAGTGGTGCCATCTCAGCTCACTACAACCTCCTCCTGCCAGGTTCAAGCAGTTCTCCTGCCTCAATCTCCTGATTAGCTGGGACTACAAGCATGTGTGACCACACCCCGCTGATTTTTGTAGTTTTAGTAGAGATGGAAGGTTTTGCCATGTTGGCCAGGCTGGTCTCAAACTCCTAACCTCAGCTGATCCGCCTTCCTCTGCCTCCCAAAGTGCTGGGATTATAGGCCTGAGCCACCCAGCCAGGCATTTTCCCCCTTTTTTCTTAAACAAGGCTACCCATAAAATACTTAGTAGCTGGCTGGGCACGGTGGCTCACGCCTGTAATCTCAGCACTTTGGGAGGCTGAGGCAGGCCAATCATGAGGTCAAGAGATTGAGACCGTCCTGGCCAACATGGTGAAACCCTATCTCTACTAAAAATACAAAAATTAGCTGGGCTTGGTGGCACGTACCTGTAGTTCCAGCTACTTGGGAGGCTGAGGTGGAAGAATCGCTTGAACCCAGGAGGTGGAGGTTGCAGTGAGCCAAGATAGTGCCACTGTGCTCCAGCCTAGCTACAGAGCAAGACTCCCTCTCAAAAACAAACAAAAAAAACCCCACTTTGTAGCTGTTACACAGCATTGAAGACAGGTTTGGAAAAAAAAAGTATCTAATCTATGTTAAAAGTACTGAAATAACAGTTGAAGCATATTTTTAATCAAGTATTTTGTAATTTAACTGTGAATGCTGTGATTGTATTGGATTTTATTTGCCAAAGACCAGAAAGATTCCAGCAGTGATAGAAATCTAGACTATGTGCAATTTGGAGGTAGTTCCTATCTGAAGTGTTTTACTCTAATATGATTAAAATGAAATGACCATTAAGAGTAAAACTGTTCGGAAAGTATTTGATGATATCACCAATAGTAATCCACATTAATAGGTGTGGTTACAAAATGATGTACAACCAGCAGTCCTTGCTGTTATTGTTTGTACTCAGAAGCAGTCTTGCCTTTTAAAAGTTCCAGGAACGTGTTCATGATAGCTTTTTATAAAACTGACACCTTAATCTTTACTATGTCTGAATTATGGCTTCTGTTTTCAACTAGCGTTTGATTATTTACTGTCTTGTATAGTTCTCCTCTATCATGTTTGTATTTTGTCTTTTCAAGTAATAAGTTTATTTCTGAAAGGCAGAGACTGTCTCACGTTATTGTTAGAATTGAGTAGCTGGCAGTGTTACATGTTGAAAATTATGAATTTAACTTGACAAATGACCTCTATCCAATTCCCAGATTTCTGGTTAGTTTTTGTCCTTCGATCAGTGTTTGTTACTTTATTTCTGGTAGATTTGCTTGCATGAGTTCTTCCGTATACCCCTTCCCATTGCCCATCACCATGCCTCCTGTTTTTTGTTGTTGTTTTTGAGGTGGAGTTTCGCTCTTGTTGCCCAGGCTGGAGCACGATGGCATGATCTTGGCTCACCCACAACCTCCGCCTCCCGGGTTCAAGCGATTCTCCTGCCTCAGCCTCCCGAGCTGCTTAGATTACAGGCATGTACCACCACACCCAGCTAATTTTGTATTTTTAGTAGAGATGGGGCTTCTCCATGTGGGTCAGGCTGGTCTTGAAGTCCCAACCTCAGGTGATCTGCCTGCCTCAGCCTCCCAAAGTGCTGGGATCATGGGTGTGAGCCACCAGGCCTGGCCATCTACCTCCTGTTTTTAAGTGCTGCTTATTCTCCTTCCTTCATTTTCTCAATAAACCACACACTTTCAACTCAGTTTTCTCAGGCTCTATTCATCCTTCCAGGTCAGAGAAGAAACATTCATCTGTAATAAGCATTCCATGCATATGGATTAAATAAATAAACGAAGAACTGTATACCTGAAAGTTCTCTGTTGGGAAGTTGCATATTTGCCCTAAGTCCGTTTAATTAAAGTTGGGTTTCATGGACAGCTTTTTAATTTGGAAATTCACATCTAACCATCTCACATTGGGACTGTCATGTCATCATCATTGAGAAAGCATGCCTAAGTCTATCTTTGTGGTTAAGAACAGATAGGAACTCAGGATGAGGACCTGCTTGTTGCTCACTTGAGCCAGCTGATGCTTAAGGAGCAAAGAAGTCCTCAAAGGTGAGGAGAGATAAGTTCCAGAAATACTTTTTTCCATCATGAAAAGTAGAGACAAGAAAAGAGGAACAGAGCAAGATCTAATTTTAAACTTCTGGAGGACAGAGATTCTTTTTTCCTGAGTCTGTGCAAGAGACAAGGTCTTACTCTGTTGCCCGGGCTGGAGTGCACTGCTGTGATTGTAGCTCACTGTAGCCTCAACTCCTAGGCTCAAGTGATTCTCCAGCCTCAGTCTCCCAAGTAGCTAGGACTACAGCTGTGTGCTACCACACCCAGCTAATTTTTAAAAAAATTTTTGTAGAGGTGGGATCTCACTATTTTGCCACTTGCTGGTCTTAGCCTCCTGATCTCAAGCAGTCCTCCTGCCTTGGCTTCCCAAAATGTTGGGATTATAGGTGTGAGCCACTGTGCCTGGCTTCAGGATTGTTATAGCACTTGGCACATATAGATGCTCCATTATTATGTTGACTGAATGACTCTTAAATTCTTGGATGTGCTGTGGTGCTTGGCATAGTGTCAGGCACTGAGAAAGCACTTGGCTTACTTAAAATTTTCCTCAGAGTCATCATCAGTTCCATCTGCTTCATCTCCAAGCAGCAGCTCCCCAAGTTCTGTTGTTTCTACCTCTGTAATGTCTTGTGCATTCATTCCCTCCTTTCCTCTATGTTATTGTCCTGCTACCTCTTGGTTGGACTCAAAGGCAGTCTTGTTCAAACACAGCTCGGATTTGCTCAGAAAGCTTTGGTGGCTCGCCATTGCCTCCAGTACAGAGTTCAACCTGTTCAAAGTGGGCAGATCAGGAGGTCAGGAGTTTGAGACCAGCCTGGCCAACATGGTGAAACCTTGTCTCTCCTAAACATACAAAAAAATTAGTCAGACGTGGTGTTGCGTGCCTGTAATCCTAGCTACTTGGGAGGTTGAGGCAGGAGAATTGCTTGGACTAAGGAGTCGGGGGTTGCAGTGAGCCCAGATCATGCCATTGCACTCCAGCCTGGGTGACAGGGTGAGACTCTGTCTCCAAAAAAAAAAAGAAAGAAAAAGAAAGGAAAGAAAAGAAAGGGTAAACATCGGAGTTAGTAGAAGGGGTTAGCAGATAAAGTATTTAAAATTAGCCTTTTTGTTTCAACTAATGATTTGATTATTAAACGTATTTAATGCAAATTAAAATAAACAGTTTTTAAGGGTCTACATGACTTAACATTTTGCTTAAGATGAACAGCTCCCCTTTAATCAATTTTGGGGACAAGGGATAGGGTGTTGATAACACAGCTTAGGTTTTTAGCCGGCTACTCATTTGTTAGTAATAACTTTGGGTGTAAACATGAATGTTTTTCTTTCTAAGTTCCCAAAGGCAAACATTTCCTTTTCTGGTTAGTTCCATTATGGGTCAGCTAAATAGCTTACTGTGGAAAAGAAAAATCTAAGATTCACATACCTTTCTAGTTATTAAAATTAGCAAATTGAGGATAATATATTTTAAGAAGTGGCCTCTTTTAGTACTGAATTAAATATCTAAAATACTTTACTTTGGCTGTACGTTCAACATAGCCTGCCACTGCACTTATGAGTTACCCTGTCTTTAGAAAACCTCATGT